TATATATATATATATATATATATATATATAGAAGCTTTGGATAGACCCAACAAAAACACAACATCACAAATTAATTCAGCAGCTCTAGAAGGATAAGTCAAGCAACTTTGAAAATGTACTAGTACAACAGTTTCTCTTTTTAATTATACTATAAGCTTCACAGTCAACAATTATGCAATAAATGCCCTGGTTGAATAGGACAAGGGACAAACAGGAAGAAATATATAAAAATAGGTTCTCAAGTTTTTACAGTAGAAGCCATCTGAAAGGACAGGCTGCATAAATACAATAAAGAAATAACTAAAGTGGCAATTCTCAATATGCTCAAACATTCAAATTGCACATTATGTGACTGAAGGAAAGAAACATCTTCAACATACAAGGAAAAGTATACCATAAATCAAAGGACCAGATACTATACTATGTACAAGTATAGTTTTCAGGTATTCTTGCCCAACATCCACCTTTCATGCTTCCATGAGCGGTGAACTTGAGAAACTGTTCCCGCCATAAAAACTTGAGCAGTTATGGAAGTGGGTAACAGCTACCCACTGTCCATGGAAAACGTGAACAGCAAATGTTGGGGCAGAGCTCTATTCCATACTCATTTAAGGTACAGGAAAAACTAGACCACTGGGTCATCATTGGCCAATGAAACAATGGACTGTGCTGGAGAGAGTGAAACACACCATTGGGGTCATATACGTTTCTCGAGGGTCTCAATCTCTCCATTCACTGCTGATGATTTCAATGGATGGTGATAACACAATAGGCTATGGTGTTTCCATAGTCCATAGGATTATTTTATGCTTTCCCCTCATAAAGTATTAAAAACATTAAGAAATTACTACATCAAAAAGATATACCATTGATTCAGCATCTAAATACTCTGGCACTGCTGACTGTCCAGGATCTCTTGTTACTTGTAATATCCGCAATTGAGATTCCTTCTCATTCATGGAATTCTCAAGAAATTGCACCTTTTTTAATAACTCTTCGACCCTACCCCTTTCATCTTGCACCGCTGCTTCTCCACTCTTAGATTTCACCCGTAGATCTTCTAACTCAGATAAAACAGATGCAATCTGCTTTTCTAGAAATTGCATGTGCACACCAATCTTATTGCCCCCATTATCATCAGGTTTCGAACCAGGTGCCACAAACCACAAAACCATAGTTTCCAACCATGTAAACAACTCATTTACCTCGGTTGAACTCATTTTAGCCCTTTCTTCTGAACCAAGTAAATCATTTGTACACCTTGTCACTTCTTGACGCAAGAATGAAATTTCCTCATCCCGACCTTGCAACTGCGACTGAAGATTTTCGACCTCATCGAGCAGGTGTTCTGAAAGCTCATGCAACTCATCAAACTTGCTTACAGTTGTTGCAAGCTTCGCAACAGCCTTGACTCTAGAAGCTTCAAGATTCTCCAAGAACCTATCTTTTTGTTGTATGATCCTTTCGAGCTCTTGAACCCTACTTGCAATAGCTTCCATCTGTGTCTCTTCTTCATCAAGTGCTTGCAGGAGGCCTTCAATCTCTGCAATAAAAGTTGCAATCAGACTCTAACATATAAATTGGAAGTCATCAATATATGTCCATTGCAAACTGAAAAGATATACATTATCAAGATATTTGAGTGGTAAGATAGACTGATTTACCTTGCTCTTTTGCAGATAAGTTATCAGTCAGTGACACAAGTTGGTCCTGTAACTCTTTTGAGGAGGTGACTGAATTCTCAAGCTCATTTACTCTAAGCACATACATGTTACGTTCATCCTCCAATAATTTTACCTGTTTCTCGCAAGCGTGCAACTGTGCTTTGACAGAATCTAGTTCTTGCAAGTAGTTTTTTCCATCTGCTTCTGCTTCCTTAATTTGGTTTACAAGCTCAGCACAAATTTTGTTCTTCTGGATGTCCCTTTCCTGTACTTCTCTTTGCAAATGTGATATGGCAGCTTTAAATTCCTTTTGGGTACCCTCTACCATCTCTGCTTGCATATTTGTGCACTCTTTAACAGCCAATAACAATGTCTCTACCATCATCTTGACAGATTCCTCAGAGAATTTAAAGGTCTTTCTATCAGTGGAAGTTTCCAGGGCATTCAATGAAGAAGACAATGCGGTGCTAAGCATTCGGGTATTTTGATTTTGCATTTCCAAAACTGAACTGTAGCACGCATTATAAAGAAAACTTAGGTGTTGATGCAATGTATTAATTTCACTGTCTTTTTCTTTCTTGATCAGCTCAAAACTAGCAATATCTTGCTTTAAAGATACCATGTTCCTCCTGCATAAAGCTACTTCGTCTCGAGCAGCTTCCATGATATTTAACAGCCTATTAGTTTTCTGGTCAAATGCAGCGGAGTGTCCGTGAAATCTTCCTTTAAAAACATTAATTGCCTTCACACAAGTTTGTAGGCCATGGGTAACAGGGCTAAGAAGGTCATCCTGGTCCTCATAGTTCCTCTCTGGCTTCAACAAGTTTGTAGCAGAAGGATACTTCTCCTTAAGAAATAAACACACACGCCCACCAAATGTGAGAAAAAAAAAAAATAACAACATGCAATTAACGGATGAAACATTCCCACAATGAAATGCCACACTCATTTGTTATTCCATGAAAATGTGACCATGTCAGATCAAAGCAAAATTATCAGGAAAAGCAAGCAACCGAACAAATTCATGTGCAAAAGAAATTAAGCTGCTTGGATATACTTTATAAATGAAAAAAGAGTATATATTTTACCAAAGCAATGCAGATGAGGCATATAATACATAACGAACAGAGCATAGGCATGCTAAGAAACATAAACATGCTTCTTATAATACTCTTGCAGTGAGAAAGACGTAGCATTGGAAAAAAATAGAAAGGAACACATGAAAGAATGGAGAAAAGAATCATAGGTTCAGTTGCCACAAAAAACATCCAACTTTTTTGGTTGATAAATCACAGTTGTCTTCTAGGTTGCAATTTCTAGGTTGCAATAGATGCTAGAATGCATATTTCACTAACCAGGTTATCCAGAGGCGTTTATTGAATTATACAATAAAGATACGCCTCAACAATGTTGTTACGCAATGTAAGCACACACGCTTCCTGAACCTGCCCTCCCCCCAACCCCAACTCAGGTCTGGAATGCGTCATTTATAGTGACGGTCGAAAAAAGAATGTGCCATTTTATGGTTTTAATTGGGCAGAATACAACTTAAATTGGTGATTTTTCAAATCAAGCTCAACTGAATTAAATCAAAATTTTATCGTGTTACCAAGTGATTTTACACTGCAAAAAGCATGTCATGTTGGCCTAAGATGAAGAAAGGCATATGTCAAAATTGAAGTAAAAGACAAATCATATGTTTTATGAAGAAACTACTGGTGGTCAGGTGTGTCCAAATCATAGACAAATCATATGTTTTATGAAGAAACTACTGGTGGTCAGGTGTGTCCAAATCATACAAATGACCCACATAACAAATTTCAGATTATTATTGTTATTATTTTTTGTTTTTTGGGGGTGGGGGAGGGACTTTACATTCATGTTCCCCTAAATATCTGTCATTATACACACACCCCAATTTACATTCATGTCCCCCTAAAAATCGGTTATACGCAGCCCCCAAATTGAGTGTATGCTACTCTCATGCCTCTTTTGTCTCTTTATATTTTCCCAGAATGCCCCCATTTCAACCATCAAGGTCCCAAAGTCGGCGCTTGTTGGTAAAAAATAAAAAAAGATGAAATACGGGGTACGAACATAAAATGCAAAAAATGGGGGGAATTTTTTTTAGGGGGAAATGCATGTAAAATTCTCTAGTTCTTTTGTTTTTTCTTTTGGCTAGACTTCACCATACACGACTCATAACTGTTGCACCCTAAGCGCAGGTCCATATTCTCCAGTAGATAGAGAATAAGCTGCCTGACCAACAAACCTATTTCCAAGTTCTTAGGTCTTGATACCCATTGAGAGGGAACAATAAGGACAATTTAACTCAATAAAAACATGATACCGGTACTATTAGAGAACTAATGACCAGATCATCACACCTTGATACCAAGCCTACAATTTGCACCATAAAATAAAAGAACATAATTTTTGCCTTCCTGGAGCAATACAGCACTACTCTTTAAAGAAACAGAAACGAATAGATTCCAAATAAAACAGCATAACTTCGAAAAAAAATCACGAGAGGAGTTTACCTCTTGAAAAATACTGGAGAAGACCTCAGCATCAGTAGATGGAACATCAATTAAGCTAGAGGCTTCTAGCATGTTCAAAAGAGACTTAAGACCAGCTTCCACATTTCCAAGTAGCTCCAGATTCTTCCTAGTATCATGGCTTAGCATATGAGACAAAGCACAACACTCTTCTTTCAAAAGATCCATGCCATCTTTCAGCTCCACCAATTTACGTTGTTGGCTGTTTTGTTCTATTGCTGACTCTTCCAGTTGTGCCATGGCTTTGGCTTTTGCAGCTTCAGATGCATCCTTCTGTTTAGAAAGAACCATCAACTCAGTTTCTGCCCTAGATAGTTCCTCCTGCAGGTTATCAGCTCTTTCTTGAACTGCATTCAACTCTTCAACAAGTAGATCTGCCGCTCTTTTGTATTTCTTCACTTCTTGCTCAGAAGAAGCAATCCTCGATTGCAAATCAGGAATTAACTTCCCCATCCATTCAATCTTCTTCAAAGGATCAGCAAAATTGGTTTCACCGGGAACATCTATGGCATGTATGGAAGTCAATATCCCACTAAAGGTTTTATGGGTATCCTCCAAGGAGTTATCAGCTTCTTCTAGTCTATTCCTTAAGAGAACATTTTCAGATTCGAGGACTTCACATTTCTCTAAATAGCTTGACAGTCGGTTGGTCTTAACCTCATATTCTTTAATGGTTTTCTCTTGTATATGAAGCTCACTCCTCAACCGTTCTACCTCAGCATTCGTCTCATCAATGGTCTGCCTCATACTGTCCCTCTGCTGCACCAATCCTTTTCCTTTCCTGACTGCAACACTTAATTTCTCCCTTGCAGAAGCAGATTTCTGCTCCTCCTGAGTAAGTTGTTCTCTCAAATCATCCCTTTCTTTACCTAGAACTATTGTTTCTTCAATCAAACGTTCACATTTCTCAAGAGCTTGATCTCGCTCTTCCTTTACAAGGACCAGAGTAGATAAAGCCTCTTCGAGCCCTGCCTTCAAGGTCATTTTGTCATGGTCATCAACATCTGGTGCTTCATCTATTCCCCTGTCCTGTACTGTTTCAGCTACTTCTACTGAACCTTGTTCCTTTTTTGAATCTTTAAGTACAGATATCTCCACAGAGAGAGCATGGTAATTGTCTATAAGCTTCACTAGAGATGCTTCTAAGCAATCGACACTGTTATTGAAAGACAAATCTGGAACATCATGACTGGGTAAAGCATCATTCACCACACTGAGAAACCTTTTAATCTCATTTTCAGTGCCAACATTTTGATCAAGAATTTGCTCTTGCAAATCACCAATCTGTTTCTTGTATTTCTCATTTTCCTGTTTATCTTGAGCATTTCTATCAAGCACCTCTCTGTGTTCAAGGCTCAATTTTGCCAAACTTTCAGAAATGATCTCCTTTTCATGGATAATGGCAGCATGGGCAGCCTCGAGGATGGATAAATTATTTCGTAAAGTATCAATCTCAGCCAAAACAGAACCCCAATTGGATTCAAGGTTCTCATACTTCTCCTGAAGGGAAGCTCTATCGTATTGAGCCTCAGAAAGTGCTCTTCCCAACCATTCAATCCTATCTTCTGGCTCGATTGACCTCAACGGAAGGGGCATTTCGACTCGATCCAAAACCTCTTCCCACCTTTGCAAGAGGCTGTTTCTTTCCACCAATGACTGTTCAAGCATGTCAGTTTGCTCAGCCAAACTGTAGAACTTACTCTGAAGGTCCTCATAATTTCTTTTCAAATCTTCATAATCGGCATTTGAATTAAGGATACGATCCTCTTTCCAAGTCTCTGGAACCACAAAACCCGCATCAGAATACGACCCTTCGGCTAAAATTTTGTTTTCCCAAGTAGCAGCAGGCAAAGGATTTCCTCCAATGGATCTCACCAACCACCCGACTTTGTCAATTATATCTCCAGAGTGAAATTGTTCTGGTAAATCCAAGTCCTCCAAAATCTCTTCGATCCTTTGAAGAATAGAGTCCTTCTGTAAAAATGACTCTCTCAATGCAGTAGCCGAGTGTCGTATATAGGAAAGCTCAGATTCTAAAGCCTCAACACGTTCCCCGGCTTCCCCAAAGGAATTCAGCTTTGCTTCAACTTCCTGAAATGCCATAGTTTTAGACTGCAACTCTTGGCAACACTTCTCCAACTCATTTGACATCTCAGCTAAAGACTGTCTCAGCCCATCTCGTTGCACTATCAAAGCTTTCCCCTTTCCAACAGCTAAACTGAGCTTTTCCCTCACAGACACTAGTCTTTGCTCTGAGTGCTCAAGTTCAGTCTCTTTGTTCCTCTTCTCCAATAAAGCCTGTTTTAGATCATCCTTCATCTTTTGCAAACTTTCTTTAAGAGCCCTTGTATCATCTTCATGTTGAGCTTTCCAACTACTCAACTCATGAATTTTCTCCATCAATTCACTCAATTCAAACACCTTCTTTTGAAACTCTTCCCTCAACATGGTATCAAGAGGCATCTTCTTATCCTGTTGTGGAAGTTTGGGCCTAGAAGTGAATTCACACAAGTACTCCTCCAGCAAACTGAGTTGCCGAGTAGTTTCTCTGTATTTCTCAATGAGCAGAAGAACCAAAGTTTCCAGATGTGAAACTGATTGCTTATTTACAACTACGAGCAACTGTGAAGCCTCAGCTTGGATTGCACATTCAATAGCTTCAATTGACTTGGATATTATGGCTTCTGACTCCACATCTGGTTGTGACTGCTGCAACTCCGTGGAGCCTTCTTGAAGCACAACATCAGAAGACATAACTGCAACTGATTTATCGACTTTCTCATTTTTTCCATGGATCTCATTCTCCCCCAACTTCCTCAAGTTCTTCTCATTCAAATCTTCAATAATTTGAATTTTGTCTGACAATTCCATTTCTAAATTACTTTTGGTATAAAGAAGGTGCACTCTTTCATCCAATAAGCTCTGTAGTTGTTCAACAAGAAACTCAAATCTACTGGACAAAACAGCCACTACTGCCTCAGAATTCAGACCCATCTCTGTCTCTTCGTGAGTCCCAAGGGGGCTGAAAACCAATTTTCTCATGCTAGTATGGACCTTATCTAACATATGGAGACCAAGTTGATTTTTTTCATGCAAAGCAAAGCACTCTTTTCTAAGCTCTTCATACAAGCCATGCCAAATTTCACTTTCCACACGAGATTCTAGAAGCCTCTCATGCAAATCATCTATTGAATTCACAGCAGCAGTGACAGTATCAAAGAGACACCGAAAAACATCAGAATTATCCAAGTAGGTGTGTCCAGAATAGGCAGATTGAATGTCTTTGAGAGGTGCAATGGCCTCAAAAATTACAGCCTTACATGAATCCCTTTCTTGCTCTACAATGGCAGACTTCTCGTTCACTTCTCTTTGGAGCCATTCTATTTGATCAGTCAGTTTCCGTGCTGTCTCAGCGGCATTTCCTTGGATCTGATTTAGCTGAGAGTGCAGGTCTTCTAATCTAGCTTGATGCTCGACTAGTTCACCTACATGCTCTTCATTCCTCTTAGCCAAGGCAGCCATATTAGTAGCAAGGCTTTCTTTTTGTTTCTTTTGTAAGTCATATTCAACCTCGACCTCCCTCAAGGCAACACTAGCAAGTTTATTACTCTCCTCTTCTTGCTTTAACAGCTTATGGGCCTTTTTCATATCTGAATCAAGCTGATTCAAGGCTGCTTTGAGACTGTTTGCTTCCTCATTGGCCACCTTGAGCCAATCCACACCAAAATTAGCATCACTAGCTGGGATCATTACACCCCTTTTGCCAACCTTCTCAAAAGAATCTTTAGAGATATTGCTTTCAGTCAATACATCGTCTTCGTCATCATGATGGGTTTTGGACTCAAAGGCTTGTATCAACTTCGAAACCCCAGAAGAAACTTTCTCATCAGTCTTTCCTGAGGATACCGACTCAGCTTGCAACCCATGAATCGCCTTCTCAAGATTTGCCATCATTTTCCCCATCACATGCAAGTGCTCCTTCATCAAAAGCAAGTCATCCCCATGATCGGGGTCTTCCCCCCCTTCTTGTTGCATTTGGCCAGACTCTGAATCGCCAATTGACTTCAACATTGAGGTCTCCATAGATTCCATGTGTCCTCGGTTATCAACCATAAAACCCAAGGGCTGAGAAGAGGTTTCTGATGCCTTGGTCTGTGACTGCCAATAATGGTCATTTGTTTCTCTCAGCTTGGCTTTATGTATACCGAGACAGAATGAAAAATAAACATTATCCACTGTAAGTTGCTCTAGGTGCCCCATGGCTTCCTTCAGATCATCCTCAAGCTTCACCTGCATGTCATAAGCCTTGAGCAAATCCTCCGTGCGCCCATGCAACTCAGTGAGCAGTCTAGAATTCTCAATCAGAAGAAAATCATGATCTTCTTCAAGTTTCTGTCTAGTAAGAGCATCATTTTTACCCCGATCAAGCTCCTCTCTCACTAGCTGGTTATGCTCAACCAGATTTGCATTTTCAGCTTGTAAAACTGCCATTGCTTCCTTACTATTAGACAACTCACCAGTAAGATGCATTACTTCTTCTCCATCTGCTCCAATCTATGTTGCAAATCAGAAGCCAAATTACCAAGTTGCTCAATCTGCCCCTTTGCAGCAAGGCACTCAATTTCAAGCTTCTCTTTTTCAGCAGTCATGGCAATGAGCTCTGAATTGCACTGAACACGGCGTTGGGCCATTCTATCATTGCTTTCTCTGGTTTCATTAACCAAATCATTAAGGCTAGATATTTCATCTGCCATCAATTGTTCACGTTTATCAGACTCCATCAGCATCTGGATCAGTTCAATGAGTTGCATATGAAAACACTCTTTTGTGACACTGGTCTGGTAGAGTAACTGTTCCAGCAACTCTAAGCCATTGCCAGAGTGCACATCTCTGTCCACAACCACTCTCTCCACAAGGTTTGGCTGCCTGCTCACTTCTTCATCAAATTCTTCATTCCTAGGTGAAAAGCCAGTCTCCATTGGAAGAAGTTCAAATGTTTCAATTTTATCATGGCGTACAGCTTCAATTTCTTGAGGCAGAGTAGGTGTCTCAGAGGACCCCTGGAGTGAAGATTGCAACACACATGTCTCCTGAAGTAAGCTTGAAGAAACCTCCCTATCATCTGCACTTTCCCTCTTTTCATTTTTGGTAATATTATTTACAGCTTCAGTTTTGGATTCTTGAGACAAAGTGGAGGTTTCATATGACTCCTGGTAAAACAATTTTGCATCACCCATCTCATGAAATGAGGTTTTAGAAACCTCCCCGTCATCTGCTCTCAACCCCCTCTCATTTAGAGCAAATTCATTTACAGTTTCATCTTCAGCTTGTTGGGGCAAAGTGAGGTTTTTAGACTCCTCATAAGAGGATTTCCAGTCGCCCATCTCATGAAACAAGCTCAACGAGACCTCCCCATCATCTGCAATTGATCCCTTCTCATTTTGGTCAGAACTATTTACGGCTTCAGCTTTGGATTGTTCAGGCAAAGTGGGAGTTTCATACAACTCCTGGTGAGAACATTCTGCACCATTCATCTCTCGAAACAAGTTTGAAGAGACCTTCCTCTCATCTGCTGTTGACCTTCTTTCATCAAGAGGGGAATCAATTGAGGCTTTGATATTATCAAGCAGTGGGTCAGTCCTCTCATATGAAGTAGCCTTGCCTTTCTCAAAGCTTGAAGACTGAGAGTTCATGCCATCAATAACCGAAAAGGGCACCATTTGGTTTCCACATCGCTTCTCATGGTTATCCAACCCCGAACCATCTCCTTCCTGCATTGCCCCTACCAAGCAAAAAATGAGAATATAATTATACATCAAAGCCCCATCACACTTCCTAATCTAATCCAGCAATAGAAATTGGATATAGACATACAGTGTCAAAAGTATTGAGAAAAATTGGAATCAATAGATTGAAGAAAAGTCCGCAAGAAAAACATCTCTTACCTGATCAACTGGCTCCAAGGACTTCAAATCATTAGAAAGAGAGTGCTTGTTGGGCTGAATTACACTTGGTTTTGTGTCATTGTCATCATGCACATGAGTCACTTGTACATCAAGAGAATCCTGCTCAACTGACAGAGAAAATTCTCTTTCTGCATCCTTCTGCTCAGGCAATGAAGGAATGGCTCTCTTTTCTTCAGTATCTACAGGCAATGAAGTAGAGTCTCTCTCCTCTTCCTTCTCTAGAGACAATGAAGAAATATTTCTATCCTGTTCCTCCTCTACAGGCAATGAAGAAATATCTCTCTCTTCATCCATCTCCTTTGAGGGAAACGAAGAGGTTTCTCTCTCTTCATCCTTCTCTGAAGTCAATGACGCAATTTCTTTCTCTTCATCCTTCCCTGAAGACGACGAAGCAATTTCTCTTTCTTCAGCCTTCCGTGAAGATGAAGAATTTTCTCTCTCTTCATCCTTCTTTGCATGCAATGAGGAAATTTCTCTCTCTTCATCCTCCTTAGGAAGCAATGAAGCAATTTCTCCCTCTTCAACCTTCTGCAGACGCCATGAAAATCTGTCTCTCTCTTCGTCCTTTGACAATGAAGCAATAGCTCTCTCTTCATCCTTATTTTCAGAAAATGAAGTTTTCTCTCTCCCTCCATCCTTCTGGGAAGGCATCGAGGAACTCTCTCTCTCTTCATTCTTATGAAGAGCCATCAAATAATTTTCTCCCTCTTCATCCTTCAGCATGGCTAGTGAAGACCTTTCTCTCTCTTCATCCATAGGGGCAGCCAAAGAAATTTCTCTCTCTTCATGCTTGAGGGCATGTGACAAAGAAAATTCTATCTCCTCATCATTCTGAATAGGTGAAGCTGACGAAGCAACCTCCATGTTTTCCTTATCAACAGATGCAATCTCCTGTTCGGGCCTACTGTTTTTATCAAATGATTTACCACCTTTGCTCTCTCTCTTCTTTTTAAATTGTTCCAGCTGATTAAAAATAAAAAAGAAAAAATTCACCACATAAAAAGAGTTTTAGGAGCAAGATAAAGGAGAGATTTGTTTAGAATTCAAAACCAAAACAAAAAGGCAAATGAAAATGGAGCAATAATTCGATAGAATGATTAGGGGACATGAATAGGGCTTTGTATCAACAAAACTACCCATGATCTCAAGCCAATAAGCTTCAATTTCAAATGTTCTGAGCTTTCAATCTCCCTGGTTAGAGTTTGCAGAGTAAACTTAAAAGAACAATTTTAGAGATAGGGACAAATGATTTTAGAAAGAGTACCTTTTTACGACCAGCAGCTAGCAGATCCTTCCTGTTCTTGTTCCTTTCCATCTCGCCACCACTTACGATCCAGATCCAAAAATTAAACCCTAAAACTCGCTATTTCTCACTCTAGAAATCACTACACCACATAAAAACAAATCAAAACCACGATCCCAATCTATAACAAAACCTCCATTACAGAGCCGGAACCTGCACTGTTAACAATTATGCCAATTCCCCAGTCCTGATCACAATCTTAAGAAAAATGGAAAGTGAACCAAAACGAGAAGAACATGGAGACACTAGACTACAGATTCGTCACCATGAAAACGAATCTCTTCGTGATGGAAATCGCATCAAAATCCTAGACAGAGACTACAGATAGAGAAAAGAGAGATTTACCATGAATTATCGGTTCCCTGCAATATTTTAGTGGGGATTCATTGAATCTTAGATCTGACGCTTAAGTTCAGAGCGTGATTGCTTCCTTACAACTTCTCTTCACCACCAAATGTTTGCTCTCTCTCTGTACCGCCAAATGTCAGTTTCTTCTCGCTCTTCTCTCTTTTCTACTTCGTCTCTCTCTTCACATTCTCTCTGAAATTTAAGTTTACGTTAGGGCCAGGAACCGTCGCGCCTAGGTTTGTACCGAGCCTATATACAAACTCAATTCGTTGACCGGAAACAAATTTGGGCTCACGCAATGAGTATCATTAAGGCCCAAACCTGGCCCATAAATCATATAGCATATGACTCATCTTATGAAGGGGATGACCATTATAGAACCCCTTTAGTAAAAACAATTTCTCCCATGGTGTCTCTCGCTCCATTCTCACCAAAAGGTAAGGGCCCGAATCCCTAATAATTTTATCCTTTATCTTTTATATAAAAGGGCATCATCAAAGGTTAGGGCCTAAATCCCCACTGATTTTATCAATCATGGGTTGTGGTGAAAGCACTTCCATATTTGGTTACCATTTCTAATCCTGCAGACATCACCCATTGACACCTTAAAAAAATCGAATTCCGTAATCTATAAGAAATATCGGGTAGGGGTTAGTGTTCCCACTTTATTATTACCCTCCAAAAAAAAAGGGTCCAAATCTTAGACCTAAACACTATCCAGGTCCGGATTTGGGTCTGGTCAAGTCCAGGTCTTATAATATTTTCGGGTCTCAATATATGAAATATATTTAAATATAATTAAACACATATATATTTTAACTTTTGGGTTGGGTTTGATCAGGCCGACATCTAGGTCCCGCACTATATTTTTGGATCCAGGTCCAAGTTCATGTCCCACATCATTTTCTCGGGACCTAGTCTAGGTCCGGGCAGACCCGAACGAACCTATACCCGACATGACCCGTTGCCATCCCTAGGCTGATTGGTGCCTTTGATATTTTGGTCCAAAGTATAAAGTTTCGTTGAAATTAGCTTAAATCAATATTTGATTAATTATGACCGGTTGGACCAATTGATTTCAACTTGTTCGACCAACTAGATGGAGGTGGGCAATTTTTTCAATATGTTTTAGGTTTAAACATATTACATATATTTTTTATTTCTTGTTTCTAAAATTCAATCTAAGAGCTTCAACTAGCAGTCAAACAAGTTTTTAATGGACAAAGTCTCTCACGGTCCGGTGACAGGTTTTGATCTTGATAACATTGGTTAGGAGAGAAATACAATTATACAATGTTATTTTTAAAATTTATCATAATACATCTAGTACATCTTGCCAGACCATTTATTTTCAAGATTTGCATGCGTTTATAAATCTATTCGATTTGAAGCATTTTTAGAGTTCAAAAATTTAGAAATGAAAATAGATTTTCAAGCCATCCTATGAACATCTATGATAAAATTGGGAGGTGTGCCTTACCTTGATTGTTTAAGGATGCAACTTTATACCACCTCACCCAATAATTTATAATGTAAAAAAAAATTTTATCATAAAATTATCTGTAATTTATTGTACTCTCCATTTTTTTTCATCTTTCTTATTTAAAAAAATTATTATTTTTCTTATTTCTTTAGTTAAAGATCAGATTTCCCCCTAGGGGTTACCATTATAAAATGAAAATGGACCACAAGCATAATCCATTCTATTATAATCTATTCTTAAAGAAAAGTATACAAAGAGACTATTTGCTTTTAGTATAAGAAGATTACAATCACTCATCTCCATTATATTTTAAATCATGTAATTCTAAGTGGGTCATTAACTAGACTGAAAGTTCGAAAAAAAAAAAAAAACTCGAATTTTGAGACATACCCCAAGCCATCCAATTTGAAATCTAATGGTTACGAAGCGATTTGTTTTTTTAAATGGTGCGGTTTGTATAGAACCAAAGCTCTAAACAATAAAAGTAAAGCGCACCTTCAAATAGTGTCCAAAAATGTGGTTTCAATACTGGAAATCTTTGTGATAGCTTTAAATATATTTTCTTCTTTAATTATAAAATTTAAATCTTAAAAAATATGCAGATCAAGCAGGTCTATGAAAACTTGAAAATCTTGAAAATTGCCAGTCAAAAAATGCGGTACAAGATGCATTACTTCCAAAACTTGAAATCTATTTTTTTTCTCATGTGCATGCATCTTGATGTCGAGATGATTAATTTGATGATATTTGGGCATCAAAACAACCTTTTCTGGTGAAATTTTTGAGGTGGGTCTAATTTGATTGTTTAGAGCCTCGGCTCTTACAAACTTTTTCCTTTTCTCAAAGGGTGCAGTAAATAATCAAAGTAAGGTATGCATCCAAAACTAGCCAAAAGATACATTTTTTGTTCCAAATTTTTCAAAAAGCAATAAACTGTTTCTACTCCTAACTATGAAATTCAAGCTTTCAAAAGTAGTAAGGATCGAGCAAGTCTATAAACAATTATAAAATTTGAAAGTGAATAGTCCAAATAAATATTACAATAAAGATTATTTTAAGATTTGAAATATTTTATTATATTGATATCCATACTCTCGAGGTCAAGTTGATAACATTGAAACAACATTTTCCAAGGGTGTCTGAGGTGCGTCTCACTTACATAAAGTTCACATTTATATAAACTTTTTCCTTTCTAAAACATGTTAAAGTACCTTAACTATCAAGAGATTGTCTTTTACTAGTATCAAATGGTTGAAATGGTGCTATCAAGTTGGAGGAAACCAAATGCTAGTTTTTTCCCCCTCCCTGTCTCTCTTTTAATGATCGTAACTTTTTATTAACATATAAGAACTGTACATCAAAGGCAAAGCCAACAAATAAATGAGCAAATGCTAGTCTAGCATATAGAAAGGTGTTGCTATGGGGTTTTGCTTGTGTGATTCATTTTTAGAAATAGATCCAACTTTTTCTTTCTTAGAATCAAAACTAATATATATATATATATATATATATATATAAATTAAGCTAAAAGATTATATATCTTGCAATAGTATAGTGTTTTTTTTTTTTTTGATAATTTAGCGAGGAAGACATGCTCCTACCTATCTTTCATATAGATTAGGGAGTTAGCGCTTTCGAAGGTGTCAGTAAATGGCGTCAGCAAGATTAAAAACCACAACATGATAACTAGGTATAGGGGTGCTACCACCATGACCGAGCCCCTTTCCTTGCAGTAGCATATTGTTTATTTACTCCCTTGGGTAAAATTCTATTTAGGATTTTTATCAGGACCCTAAATCTTAGGGATGTAACATCATCTACCCAACAGCCAGCCTAAACAGTTAAAGGTAGAAGTATTTAGATTGAATAGAGACAGCTCAATTTTTTGATAGTCATAAGTGCTCAAGGAGTTTCTGTTGTGAAAAATACTTCTATAAAGATTTTGAAAAAATTTAAAATTATTTCTAAGTGGCTCTTTTTCCCGAAGGAGTACATATACAATGAGGAGAACCCTTTTATAAGCTAGTAAATTGACATAGGATTTTTATAAATCTTTCTTTATAATATAGGATTAGGTTATGTGTGCCTTTTCGTTATAATATAGGAATAGGTTAAGGTCGAGGAAATGGATGGAGATCTCTCCTGCGTGTATTGATGTATGTATGGTATATGAATCCTATTACTAAAAAAGAGGAATTTTGAATAAAGTCACAAGGCCGGCAATGTGATACTTCTATGCTCATATGCCCTATGGTTTAGAAATTGAAAAATATATAATTTTTTCTATTTTAGATAAGTTAGTAGGGATGACGAGCTCCTACTCAATTAGGTGGAGCTTAGGTGGTACTTCCATCACGACCCGCGACCCATTTCCTTGAAAAAAATATAATATGAACGATCTGATCATGATAACAACATGGCCATGAGGATTATCACCGCCCATTCAATGGTTTGGACGATGGGGGAGGGAGAGTACGGTGCAACAAATTCATCGTTGGGATATTTTGGTGGGGTCCACTCTCTTCATCACTGTCTCATCCACTGATGCGATCGTCGTCATACCATCATGGTCATGTTGTTGTAATGATCCATGTCCGAGTGCGGGCTTCGAATTTTTGCCAATATTTAGTCCAAAGTTTGTTTATTGGTTGAAATTTACCAAATACCATTACTATTTTTTTTTTTTACTGTTTCTTTTTAACCAATTGTTTGACGATTCAGCCGACCTAGATGGCCGTCTCGGAGCGGTGCAATGTGTGAGAAATCCAATACCTGATTCTCGGTTTTAAAACAATGAAATTGCCTAATTCAATTTTCGTCATCGTTAAGAAAAAAAAAAAAAAAAAGGGTCTTAAGCTCTAAAACAACCATATATTCTAATAACTTATCTAGACCGCCCATTTCGCCTAAAAATAAGTGTTTAAAGATCCTCAAGATCTGTATTATTTTTTAATATTCAAATTTTATTGTCAGTGTTGGAAATTGATTTTTAAGTCATCATGGAGATTTTTGTTGCCAAAAGTGCTTTCGGGACGAAGATTTGAGGTGAGGCTTTATTTCATTTTCATAAAACCTAGGCCTTATAGAAACTTCATTCAAAACTAAATAGGGAATTTCACATACCAAACTTAGAATGTTAATAATTATTCCAAGCTGAAAATTTTTGTTCATTGAGTGAAATTTCGAAGTTCCACTTACTAAGAAACAAAAAATTCAATCCATGTTGGCCTTTCAAACTTGCCCTTAACTAAACTCTTGCATCCCAAATCATGCTTGATTTCATGATTTGTCTTTCTATAGTGCAAAGAACAGGGCATACGCCTCCTAGAAACCCCAAAAAAAAATAGAACATTGACAAATGAGCATCAAGAAGAATAGGATAAAAGAAATTAAAAATTATAGATACGCTATCGACTCAACTTTCTAAGCATGTCCCCCTAATATTTTTTAGGGAAAAAAAGATACAAACCCCCTTCTATAGTTATAATCCCAAACAACCCCTCACTTCTGGTCCCTACTGAAGCCGGTCCAACATACCGGCTTCGTTATATATAATGAATCTGATAATAAACACGGTCTAACACAATGCATGTCAAATTATGTCAGACTAGCATCATTAGGGACCGAAAACAAAAAAACAAAAAGCTAAAGAGAAATGTGGTATAGAATGGGCATTTTTATCATAATTTTTTTTTTGCCTAAGGTAGACGCGAAGAAAAAATAAAAAAAATGTTGAGGTTAGTGATATGATTTTAAAAATATTGG